GGTCCAGCGCAAACCCCGCAGCTCGGCGGTGCCGCCAGGCCAGGTGATCAGCAGGCGCCGGGCGCGGAACTCGCCGGTGAGCGAGCCTTCCGGGGCCTCGATCTGCACGCCGGGCAGGTGCTCCATCAGCCAGGCGCCGCCGGACGGGCGTGCCAGCAGCCAGGCGATGAAGCCGACCGTCAGCAGGGCCAGCACGAGCAGGCCGATCAGGCTGCCCCGCAGGATTCGCACCGACCGCCTCCGAGGGCGGATTCCGGGGCTGGTGGAGGGCGTGGCTGCGTCTGGCTTCATAGGGTGATGCCCACGCTGAAGTGCAGCCGCCATTTGCCCGTCTCCTGCGCCCGCGCGGCATCCACGCGCAGCGGCCCGACCGGGCTGCGCCAGCGCACGCCCACGCCATAACCCACCACGGGGCGGTAGTCGGTCCAGCGCGACGCGGCATTGCCGGCGTCGATGAAGGCCGCGCCCCACAAGCTCGGCAGGCTCATCGTGAAGGGGCGGGCGATCTCCAGGCTGCCGGTGGCCATCACGCGGCCGCCGACGGTCAGGCCGTTCTGCACCGGGCCGAGGCTGCGGTAGGCATAGCCGCGCACCGATTCATCGCCGCCGGCCAGGAAGAGCAGCTTCTCCGGCACGCCGACCCGCTCGGCCGCCACCACCTGCGCCACCTCGGCCCGTGCCGACGCATACCAGCCACCGATCGGCCGGTAGGCGCCGAGCTTGAACTGCATCCGGCCGAAGGGGCCGCTGCTGTCGGTGCCGCCGCCGCGGGCATAGCCCAGGCCGACGAGGGCGAGGGCCTGGTGGCCGTCGGTGGGCAGCAGCGAGCTGTCCAGCCGGCGGCGGATCCACTGCTGGTTCAGCGACACCGCGAGATTGGTGTTGACCTCGCTGCCCGCGGTCTCGCGGGCGCGCAGCAGCTTCGACATAGGTCAGCCGCTCGTCGCGGGTGGGACTCGTACAGCCGGCCCCAGCGCGCAGGCCGAGGTTGGTGGCGATGGTTGTCGCCGCTGCGGTCCTGCTCGAACTGCAGCGAGGCGAGGTTGCGCTTCAGGTCGGGCTGCGGGTGGGAGCTGAGCTCCAGTTCGCCGCCGCGCAGGTCGCGGCTGAACTGCAGCTTGGTGCGCGGCCCGCACTCGACAGGTCCGAAGGGCTGGCGGTGCAGGTGCTCGACGCTGATGCTCTGGCCGTTGTTGCTGTGGTAGCCCACCGGCCACCGGTGGCCTGCTGCAAGGCGGATTCGGTGACCGTGACCTGCACAGGCGTCGTGCCGTCGGGGTCGACCGTCTCGGGCAGGAGCTGCACGCGCACGGCGTCGAAGAGCTGCGTCTTGGCCAGGCGTTCCTGGAACTCGGCGAGCTTCTGCTCGGTGTAGGGGTCACCGCTGCGATAGCCCGTCAGGCGCTCGATGGTCTCGCGGTCCTGGCGCTTGAGGCCCTCGATGCGCAGCGCACCGAGCCGCGCGCGGTTGCCGCTGGCGAGCACGAGGCGCAGGTCGGCGGTGTGGGCGTCGGGGTCCACGCGTGCCGCCGTCTCGGCCCAGCGGGCCAGCGGAAAGCCGCCGGCGCGTGCGCGCAGCAGCAGGTCGCTCTTGCTCGTGGCCCATTGCGATTGCGTGAAGGCGGCGCCAGGCTTGAGCGCCCAGCTGCTGCGCAGGGTGTCGCGCAGCGTCTTGAGGTCGTCCTCGGCAATGCCTTCGGTGAAGGCGATGTCTAGCGCGCCCACGCGGGTGAGCGGGCCGGGCGTCACGGTCAGGCGCAGGCGGGTTTCGTCGTCGGGATCGCGGCTGAGGTCGGCCTTGGCGTTGAAGTAGCCCTCGGTCTCCAGCAGCGCCTCGGCCTGTGCGGGCGCAGCGGCGGCCAGGCGCGCCAGCTCCACCCGGCTCAGG